GGCGTAATCTACACCTGTTACCTCGAATGCAGCGGCGTCTCTAACTCTATTCTCTGGCAAAATCGCAGACTGGGATTCCATTCTCTTTGCGCTGTATCTGCGACATGTGACGCACTTGCGAATTACCGAACGTACTGCTTTGCGGCTTTGAAGAATCCAAAACTTTTCTCGTAGGTTGTTCATAGTGGTGCTTATGCCCGCATGATTCAGTTTCACATGCGTGTAACGAATAATCTTCTCTGTCAGTAAGTGCTTTGGATCAAGAATTATTGGATACTTAAAATTGAAATTGTCTTGCCGATTAGAAATCACTGTTCGTGAGCGTAAAAGTCCTTTATCCTCGAAGACGTCCAGTTCTAGTAATCGCGGATCTTTGGCTCCTTTGAACGATTCTTTCTGTGCCAATCGACACAAAAGCAATTCAGCCGAAATCACTTTCGCAGTTATCTCTTCATCCTTGATCGTGTGTGTCTTCTTGCAATTTGTGATGAACCTTGACATCCATGCCATCAGACGTAAAACTTTGGAATACGATGAAAATCTTTGTAAATACCATGGAACACCTTGTGCTGTAGAGTCCTTCGTAATGTTACTCATAACTATATTCCCCCCAACCACAGAAAATGTCTCTTCTTTAATTTTTGACTGTGTTGGAGTTTTACGAAGTTCTTCATTAATTAGTGCTTCATCGGCTTCTTCTTCTTCTGCTGGCCATTCTTCGGATGGTGACTTTAGCCATGCTGGGCCCTCCCACCATCTAGACTCCAAAAGCTTCCTCGCATTACAGCCTCTGGAGGGCAAGTCTGCCGGATTTAGGGCTCTAGGCACATATCTCCAGGACTTTGGATTAGTAAGCTTCCTTATTTCCTGGACTCGATTCCACACGAATACCGCCCATTGCTTCTCTTGACGTATCCAGGACAAGACGGTCGTTGAATTGCTCCAGAAATATCTCTTAATATGTTTATAATTCATTGCTTTGTCGAAGGAGTGCATCATCCTTGCTCCGATTGAAGCAGCCAGTAACTCGAGACGGGGTATCGTTTTCTTTCCTTGCAGTGCTACCCTTGACTTTGCTTCAACTAGATGCACCTTGACTTCAGCTCTGGATCGCACTCTGATAAACAGAGCGGCGGCGTAGGCATCCTTGCTTGCATCTACAAAAATATGGAAGGATATAGAATCCTCATCCCGTTGCTCACCAAAAATCCAGCGAGGAATCTTCATGACTCGAAGTAAATTTAACTGCTGCATCCATTCTAGAAATTGACTTCTGTTCTCTGCATCAATCTCAGTGTCCCAGTCGAGATGTTGACTCCAGAATTGTCGTAACATCAGTTTCGGTATCAGCTGCACAGGGCATATGAAACCTAGGTGATCAAATACTCTCTGCACCGATGAGAGTACGACTCTT